GTATTGCCGCGGTTGTTCCTGCAGTGGCCCTGCTGGTGCTTGCACCCATCGCGTTGCGGGCGCGGGGTGTGCACGACATACTCCATGCGGGTGCCGCCGGCGGTGCACCCGACCACAGACGCGGCCGCCGTCGGCGCGAGGTGGTGCAGGCCGTCTTCGTGCAGCCGGCAGCGCTCAGGGGTGGACGCAGGCACGTGCTCGGCGTTCCGCTGAGGCAGGTGCCGCTGGCGAAGCTGTACGAGAGCCAGCGGTCCGCCCTTTCGTAGCAGAGGGAACGCCTCCGCTCTCTCTCCTCCCCTTCTCCCCCTTTCTTTATAGGTGCCGCGGGGTTGTGGAGGCAGGCACTCGCAATTGTTCTCCCTCTTTCCTTTTCTTGCTGTGTGTGTGTCTCCCTCTGCCGTGGTGTTGTCCACGTTTGCCCGGCTGGGCGACGCGTGTGCGGGGCGCCTGCTGACCGCACCTCCGCCCTATCTCCTTCGCTGCACCCCCTCGCCGGTTTTCTTTCTCCCTTTCTTTCTCTTTGTTTGGCGTACCCGTAGCGTAGTGTTTGTTCGGCGCGGATTTCGCATGGGGAAGCAAAGCCAGCGACAGGGACAGGAGCGATGAAGCGGAAAGGGCGGCAGACGGACAGGACCTGGATGAAGAACCACCCGATGGAGGGGGACGACATTGTCACGAGCCTCTACGACCTTCTCTGCAAGCGGAACCCCAAGACGATGAAGCCGTGCCGCAACGTGTTTGTGCCCGACACGGTGGTGTATGAGCACAACTTTCCACGTCGGGTGGTACACGACGGACGTGAGGGCGCGCGAGGTGATGCGGAGGCAGGGCAAGGACCTCGACGCTGCCACGATCGAGGCGGGCTTTAAGCGGAGCGTGAGCGACACGTGCCCCATTGTGGCGGTGTACCTGTCGACGCTGGAGGAGGACGTGGGCGACGGCGCCAGCGAGACCACCACGCAGGTGGAGGTACTCAACACGGAGAGCGTCGGCGGCTTCATTGCGCGCAAGACGAAGCGCGCGGGCATCTTGCAGCGCGTCGTGTTGCCGAAGGGGTACCACAACAGCGTCATCATGGCGGTGTGGAGCCGCCGCGTAGCCATGATCCAGCGGCGCACGAACAAGTTCCCCATCATGGACCGCAAGCGGGCGGAGCACGACCCCTTTGCGATCACTGTGACGTACGAGGGCCCGGAGTACCTGAGCGAGGAGGGCGCCGTCTCGGCACGCGTCGCGTTCGAGGTGAAGAGGGTGTGCGCCGACATCGCCACGCACTTCTTCTACACGGAGCACAAGTACATCACGCGGATGGTGCTTTACTTTAAGAGCGACGTGAAGGACCGGTTGTGGCTCCTGTGGTGCGGCTCGCTGCGCGTGGCGGACCGCAACTCGGCGAGCGAGATGCCGGTAAACCTGGCGCCGAAGTTCGGTGAACCGGCGCAGGAGGGCGACCTCGACGAGGACGT